TTATTATTGTTATTATTATTATTAATATTATTGTTATTATTAAAATATGAATCCTAATTTTGTAAGTATTTTCTCACTTGTAGGTATCTCTGAACTGGTTTAAGGAGTTTAATGATCAACAAAAAAACTGCATGATGAAAAGACTATTGGTAAGTTACTGCTTAAAACATCATTCATTGCAGCACATTGTGGTGGCTCCAGAAATTTAAAATTTAAACAGATGGTCAAAGAAGGTCCCAGGAACACCTAGAGTCTTGGTAAGGGTTCTGGAATAAAAAATCTCTGGTGGGGTTTATGTGGAGAAATTTTATGGCTTAGGATGTCCCAAAATTATAATTATATTAGGGATCAGCAATCAAAGTATAGAGCTTTCATTATCTTGTTTGAGGACCAATCTGCCGAGATAATTTCTTGTTCCCATTTACGTACAGATACAAAAAATAGTCAGCTTGTTACTATGGCAGCGGCACATGTCCTTGGGCTGTGGTGCACGACACAAGGACTGATGTAATGGTACGGTATGACTAAGGCCCAATCTAGGAGGAAATACATTATGTGAAAATGTGCATGAAATTAGAGTGAATTTATTAACTACAGGTATGATGCTCTATGTAGTCTCATAATCCTTTAATATAAAATATGATAAAATTCTGCAGAAATGTTGCAAGTACATTTAATTTCTAGTTTTCGATTCATTGTTCAGGATCCAGCGTCTGAATCACGGGTTACGAGGGCGTGACAGATTGGTTCTCGAACAAGTATCTCTCCATTTTCTCTTTGTACCAAATACTATAAATGTTAGAACTCTTATTTCATAAATGACTTGAAATTTTGCAGGAATTGTGTGAGCTTCCTCAGATGCATATGTTGTCTGTGTTAATGGAACCAATTCTTCATCAAACATGTCCACATAACTGCCAAGACCTGTTGTCATGGCTACCTGCTCAGCTTTCTCTCCATGTTTTATCGTTCCTTGATCCAGGTATGTTTTAGAATCTGTCATTTTGTTTTTGTTTTCCATCTAAATATATTATCAAACCAAATGTCATTAACAGCCTTAGCTGAGATAGCTAACTTGGTATGGAGATATTTTTAATCTTTGTACCTGGTTCAGTTCCATCTGTTGTTCCCCTTTGTTACAGACTAGACAGCTGAAATGCAAGATTGAGATGAGACTTGTTAGTCATGTGTGCAGTGTAGTCCTTATGCATGTTAATGTGCATTCTTCAGAAAGAGTACTATGTGATTGGCGCCTAGGCCTAGTGTACTGCCAGGTTTTCACCACCTTCTATCACACTCATCATTTGCTGTCACTCTTGTCAATCGCTATCATAAATTACCCTCATCAGTCGCCCTTGTAATAGTCATCCTTGTCAGTCACCCTCATCAGTCTTCCTTGTAAGTCATCCTTGTCAATCACCCTCATCAGTGACCTTTGTATAGTCATCCTTGTCAATCACCCTCATCAGTCACCCTTATAATAGTCATCCTTGTCAATCACCCGCCTTAGTCTCCCTTGTAATAGTCATCCTTGTCAATCACCCTCATCAGTGACCTTTGTAATAGTCATCCTTGTCAATCACCCTCATCAGTGACCTTTGTATAGTCATCCTTGTCAATCACCCTCATCAGTCTCCCTTGTAAGTCATCCTTGTCAATCATCCTTGTCAATCACCCTCATCAGTGACCTTTGTATAGTCATCCTTGTCAATCACCCTCATCAGTCTCTCTTATAATAGTCATCCTTGTCAATCACCCTCATCAGTGACCTTTGTAATAGTCATCCTTGTCAATCCCCCTCATCAGTCTCCCTTATAATATTCATCCTTGTCAATCACCCTCATCAGTCTCCCTTATAATATTCATCCTTGTCAATCACCCTCATCAGTCTCCTTTGTAAGTCATCCTTGTTAATCACCCTCATCAGTCTCCCTTATAATAGTCATCCTTGCCAATCACCCTCATCAGTCTCCCTTATAATAGTCATCCTTGTCAATCACCCTCATCAGTGACCTTTGTAATAGTCATTCTTGTCAATCACCCTCATCAGTGACCTTTGTAATAGTCATCCTTGTCAATCAACCTCATCAGTGACCTTTGTATAGTCATCCTTGTCAATCACCCTCATCAGTCTCCCTTATAATAGTCATCCTTGTCAATCACCCTCATCAGTCTCCCTTATAATAGTCATCCTTGTCAATCACCCTCCTCAGTCTCACTTGTAATAGTCATCCTTGTCAATCACCCTCATCAGTGACCTTTGTAATAGTCATCCTTGTCAATCACCCTCATCAGTCTCCCTTATAATAGTCATCCTTGTCAATCACCCTCATCTGTGACCTTTGTAATAGTCATCCTTGTCAATCACCCTCATCAGTGACCTTTGTAATAGTCATCCTTGTCAATCAACCTCATCAGTCTCCCTTATAATAGTCATCCTTGTCAATCACCCTCATCAGTGACCTTTGTAATAGTCATCCTTGTCAATCACCCTCATCAGTGACCTTTGTAATAGTCATCCTTGTCAATCACCCTCATCAGTGACCTTTGTATAGTCATCCTTGTCAATCCCCTCATCAGTGACCTTTGTATAGTCATACTTGTCAATCACCCTCATCAGTCACCCTTGCCAATCACCCTCATCAGTCTCCCTTGCAATAGTCATTCTTGTAAATCACCCTCATCATTGACCTTAGTGACCTTTGTAATAGTCATCCTTGTCAATCACACTCATCAGTGACCTTTGTGTAGTCATCCTTGTCAATCACCTTCATCAGTCACCTTTTTAATATTAATCCTCGTCAATCACCCTCATCAGTCACCCATGTAATAGTCACCTTTGTCAATCACCCCCATCAGTCTCCCTTGTCAACCACCCTCATAAGTCATCCTTGTCTATCACCCTCATCAGTCACCCTTATAATAGTCACCTTTGTCGTTCACTCTCATCCGTCTTTCTTATCAGTCACCCTCATCAGTCACCGTTGTCAATCACACTAATCAGTTGCCCTTGTCAATCACCCACATCAGTCATCCCTGTTATTCACCCCATCAATCAACCTTGTCAATCATCATCAAACATTGACCCTCATTAGCTATATTTTCATTAATTAAAGAAAAGTTACTACAAACATAAATAATGTAATGTTTTTAATATTTCTAAAGCACCAGTTGATTTTTGGCCTTACCAAACATATTGTGTGTGCCTGCCCTACCTCTTAAATTACAGTGCCCAGGCAGTATATCCTTTTAAATGTTTCCTATCGGTCAGTTACGCAATAAAAATATTTTTATTTTTCAGTAAGTCTTAGTGCATGTTCTCAAGTAAGTAAGGTATGGTATGAGTTAATTACACACCCATATTTATGGCAACGACTATGTCGTCTTCCTAAGTGGCAACTGTCTAGGGCAGAGGAACACAAGCAAATGATCAACCACATGTCCTCGACTATAAGGGTAAGTTAGTTAATAACATATGCCAAACACAGTGCTGCCTTAGGTTTATCTAAGAAGTGTTACATTTGCCAACCACTGTGTAATCTTCTTCATACTTTAAGTGCTTCCTTAGGTTCACTACTAACATTTGCCAACCACAGTGTCATCCTCTTCACACTTTATGTGCTCCTTAGGTTCATTACTAACATTTGGCAACCACAGTATCATCCTCTTCATAATTCAGGTGCTTCTTTAGGTTCTTACTAACATTTGCCAACCACCGTATCATTCTCTTCATACTTCAAATGCTCCTGAGGTTCACTACTATCATTTTTCCAACCACAGTATCATCCTCTTCATACATCAAGTGCTTCCTTAGGTGCACTTTTAACATTTGCTATCTACATTAGGAAAAAAAAAAAAACTTAAAAAAAAAATTTTAACTTAAGGATTTTAAAATATTTATAAACTATAATACCATAGTTTTATTAAATGGGGCCCCGATGGTTTTAAACAATAAAAGCTGGGTTCTGATGTTTGAGATCATGCTTCTGATTTTGTGATCAATCTGCTTTGCATTGTATATAGGCCCTACATTATTAAAACATGTTTAGTTCTTACTTAAATTGGCCTATTTTCTGTATTTATTTACAACTAGAGTACATAGGCCTACTGTAGGCCTATACCAGTACCATTCTATGTTCTCTAACAACGCAGTTAACAGTTAATTTTTCAATCTCCAGCAAATTTTAAATAGCATCCCAAATCCTCCTTTTTTGGAATGTAAGGAAATAGATAGTGCTTTTCCTTTGTTGGATCGATTGTAACTCTTGAATGTAGCAACCCCAAAACGAATGGCACTTCAGTATACCAATTATTCTCTTGAACTTTATATCCTATCGCATTGTTTGTGTTTTAAGTTAACTTTATTTATTTTTTATTTTTTTTTTAAGTGTACAGTTTTGGAATATTTTATATCTTTAAGTTAAATTTATTATTATTTTTTTAAAATTTTCAATGAAAAATAAATGCGATCGTTATATATATATATATATATATATATAGTCTGTTTGGTTTATGAAATAAATATCTACTTGAACTAATTGAAATAAACAATGAAAAATAACTAGGCATATGTTACAAATACATCATGTTACATTTCATTCCATTTTGTATGTTTTGTTTTTGTAGCTGCAGGTTACCAGTGTAATCACGAACACAGGTAGGTATTAATACATCCTGGCATTGTAAAAATTTCACTTTAATAACCGTAGGCCTAGGTTGTTAATGGTGACCTCTAATACATTTTCTTAATAGGGCTGTTCCTTTTTATAACAGCCGACCATTATATTGACACTGTTTAGAACATTTGATGAAGTGGTGGTTTAGTATATTTCTCAGCAGTAACTTTGAATTTACTGGTTTTATTCTCTTATCGGTCAGTATTTCTGTCTTTCATTTTTTTTTAAATATCAAATATAAAAACGCAATCGTCTCTTGGTATCACTAAAACTGCAAAGAAACAAATACAATGTTGAATTGATAAACTTGAAGGTTCATGAACCTGTAGAACAATGTAACGGTGACACTTGGCAGTTTGTAGATAAGGTATTAAGGTAATCTCAGGTAACTGTTCCCTTGTAATTTAGTGTCTACATATATACATATATATACATCACAACAGGCTTACTTTTTAAGCCAATTCATTGACAGACTTACAACTGAACGAAGGACCACCAAAAAGTGAATCTTTGCCATTGTCAATTCGTAAAAAGATTGTCGAATGTGTTAATGAAAGTACTTACTACAAAAAAGAATTGGTAAAATGGCATAGGATCAGCAAGGACACATTTAACATCTGGGATTATGGGGGCCAGGTGATCTACCATGGAATTCATCGGGTAAGTTTTCTTTAAACCATTCATTAGTTGCGATTATAAGAATACCGATTGCAGTACCTGCTCGTAAGCGAACGAGCAAGCACACTAACTCACTCTTTTGATCAATTGCCTACACTGGTATAGTTATTTTTTATATTAGGAATTGAAGGCTAATAAACCTGCATTCCCTCTAAGTGATACACAAGTACAGATGCTCAGTGACATTACCATTAGTTTCATTAGACATTAGTTTCATTTGAATGCAATGCCATAGCATATACCATTATTTTAAATAGATCTTCATGACATCAATGGCAGTTTACATCATCGTGTTTAACCTTAACGTCAATCTGGATGACAAGGCCATTGTAATGGATTCATCAGGGGTAAATTTAATATTAATATATATTTCATTGACTAAATGTTTTTTAAAAGGACATTTGTATATTTTCCGATATCAACACATTTATCTGTTATTTATAGTACTGTTTTGTTATAGTACATTATAGGACATATTACTGTATAAAATTGTAGTATATATACTGTATAGACATTAATATATATTAGTTTTAAAAATGTGTTATTATTGTCACGTTTACATCATTTTTCTCATTATAATTATATTATCGTTATCATAATTATATTATTTTATCTTTGTTATAATTTACCATTATTTTCATACCATTATTATCATAGTTATTGTTATTGTTATTTATTTTTATATAAAACGTTTATTATAAAAAATAATGTTCAACCAATGTTATGCTATGAAATCATTTGTTATTTGTTTTCCTTTCAAGCAAATGCGCATTCACCACCTGACAAACCTTGAGTTCATATTATATTGGATTTTGTCAGTGTACATTCACAGCCGTGAGTTAAAAGATGACCTGAAGCTACAGATTGCATTACCAGCTATTGTCCTCGTGGGTACTCACCGAGACTCCCTTGGATCCACTGAACAGGAAAGGATAAGCAAGGTTAATACTTATTGAAAGAATTGGAGCAGAATATAATTATTGTCCACCAATAGTATACATACTCAGATTTTTCAGAATGATGTCTATACCATCTTGCAAACATTGTATAGAAATTAATACGGTAGAGTGTATTATATTCTCATTCTTTGAAAACATATTTATATACCACTTGGTGTCTGTTATCAATGTCCAAGAACCTTTGTATGGTTGGTCATTATGGCCATAATTCTGATCATTTTAGCCTATCAAATATCAAGAATAACGCTGAAAGGGCCATCATAAAAGCGCTGTTATCTTTTAAATAAGTTGTGCTTTGTAACAATAAATTATAGGATTGGCTATGAAAGCCATAATGAAAGTACCGTAATATTTTTTTTTATACGTGTTACAATGCTATGTTTCATTATGACTTTCCCTGTTATTCTTGACATTTGCTTGGCTAAAAATCAGAAAAGGGGTCCTTTTTTTCTACAACGTAACGCTTTAAAAAAGTCGACATTTTCATTTTGGCGAAGAAGACCAACCCTATAGTTACGGCGCTTTTATTGTTACAATGTGCCGCTTATTTACAAGCCTATGGCGCTTTTGACTTTTATTTCTGGCATCTTAAATTCAGAAAAGGCGGCGCTATAGGTAAAGCGTAATGTGTTTAAAAAGCTAGAGGCTCTATCATTATGGTCGTGATGGCTGACTATACCTTTGACAATACACGGTTAAGAAAATGGATAAATTATTTATTACTGTACTTTTTTTCTTACTAAATTATATGACCAGGTAAAGGAAGCGTTCGACAAAATAGAAAAGGCACTGATGGGTAAACCATATGAAAAGCATGTGTACCCAACATACTTTGACATCGAAAATAATCGTTCAGAAGTAGATGGCAATATTGCTAAGCTGAAGAAAGTGCTTGATCATCTCATGACAGCATTGGACAAGCCCATTCCGTTGAAATGGATGCGTTTCCGTAGCGAAATTCATAAGTTAAAGGATACAACAGTAGTCTGTCCTTTGAAAAAGGTAAATTTTTCAAGTATTAAATATTTTGTTGTAGTTGTTTTACAGTAATTACTGTTAAATATTTGTGGTCAGTAATTATCATAAAATTTAGCCTATATTAAAATATTTTTGTCTATCTTACAATATTTCTGAAAATTATTTAGTAGTTAAGTGGAGTGATATGAAATTCCCCCCCCCCCCAAAAAAAGTGCTAAAAAATCAACACTTCCGCTTTTGTCGACGTTGTAAACGATGAATGTTTAAAAAAACACTCGTACACACTTACTGTGATATTTTCAATAAAATCAAAACTTTCATCAGCATTTTGGAATTCTCCGAAATGGCACATCAAGTTAGCATAAATTAGAAATAGTGTTACTGCATAAATTGACAAAGTACTGCTAAAACTAAAAAACTAAGTACTGCAGCAGTGTTGAAAGTTTTGAGTTCGTTATTAAAGAATAATTCATCTTTTTACACCATATTCAAATGTAGAAACAAATATTTCTCATTAATAACAAAACATTAATCAACTCGTAGCCTCATTAAAGTATTAATTGTTACTTAAGGTGAAAGAATTGGCTGCCAAGCTTGGAATAAACGAGGAAAATCAACAAAGTGTCCTATTGAACTTCTTGTATGACCTTGGCGAAATCATATACATGCCTGACAACAAGGTTTTACAAGAGTACGTGGTATTGAATCCAAACAAGAGTATGTGGTATTGAATCCAATGCATTTTGTTGAAATGGTCACAACAGTCATCACTGTGAAACAACCCAACTTGGAGGTAAGAATAAACTTATCCCTTGTATTGAATATGTAGATTGGTGGTTACGATGATCGATTTCCAATTCCATAGTCATATGTTCAAATTCTGTAACAGTATGGGTTTTTTTGTTTTTTTTTGTTTGCATGACTAATAAACCTCTCCACTCCATAGCCTTAACTGCGAAACCTTGACTTAGAAGTACCGGGATGGTGTCCGACGAGGGTTAGGTTAATCCTTGTTAAGTGTAGGTTTTCAAATTAAAAATGCTGTTGTTAAAATTTTAGCCCCAATAGTTTGTTAAAATAATCATTTATTAAGTGATTTTTACCTCTCCCGTTTTGTAGTCTTGACCCCAAAACATTGACTCAGAAATACCGGGTTGGTGTCAGACGGGACCATGTTTTACCATGTTATATTTAAGTCAATGTACTGTAGTTAAGCCCAACCTTAAAATTCCTTGCCCCGAAAACCTCGACTCAGAAATACTGTGTTGGTGTCCGGTGAGGGATGGTTTTTTTTTATCATACTGTAGTTAAGCAAATGTAATTAAACCAAACCATGTAATTCCTTACCCGAAACCCTTGACTCAGAAATACCGACTGGGAATAGTTTTCCACCCTAGTTTTGGGTGTATGTAAAGCGCCTAGAGGGATATGTAATCCATAAATGCTATACAAATACACTTTACTATTAGTATTGATGAGACCTAGTTTATAAAGCCTGACATTATTTTCCTTTATTTAAGACATTTCTGAATATCAGTCACCTTCTTTAAAATGGTATGAAAATTGTTCAGTCTGAAATAGTCAAAAAAAAAAATCATAATGTTCTTTCTATGTTATTTCAGTCAGCACTGTATAAAGACCTCTACAGAAAACTTAACGAGGGTATATTAGAGGAGCCGTTGTTCAAGAAGCTTTTGGAAGATCGTGGTGTTGATTTGAAGAAGTTTGACTTTTTTGTCGAGTTGATGAGACGATTTTGTCTTCTTTGTGAGAGAAAAGTAAGTTTAAATTATATTACAACAAGACTTTAAATTATTTAGCTATGGATTGATAAGTACGTCAAATGCAAATGTTATATAATACCATGCAGACTCCAAAAAGACTAAGAGAAGCCATGATTCAATATTCTGTTTTTTATTCGAACATCATCAGGAATGAAAAATAATTCTGTCCATAGGGACCATATACCAGAATTTAAGTAACTTAACTAACCAATCAAAAGTGAGAAACCGGTAAAATTGACCAAAAAAAACAAACAAGGTGTGACATATTATTAATGAATTAAAACAAAATCAGTCTTGATAAAGTGTGAACACATAATTAATATGAATAAATAAATAAACTTGATGTTAATGGCTAGTTCAACAATGCAAGTTCTTTGGATGCTTTTTATCCAGTATTTAAACATGGTTTATAGCGCCTAATAGCCAAATTTTGTTTAGTTATGAATACATACTGTGGGTGAAACCGAAGAGAGCAACAATGCAGTCGGGTAGAATTTATTACAAGTTCAGCAATATTTCATGATTGGTTGCTCTTTATTATGAATATAATATCGCTTTCATTAAAAAGTGTTACATATTTTTTGATAGGCAGCCAAACCAGGAAACCGTTCTTTCTTTGTACCACTTCGACTGGCACTTGAACCATCGTCCGATGACCATAGACGGGTCGACAATTATGGTGAGCGCGCTATAAGCATATACCATGACTTCTGTGGATACCTTCCGGACGAGTTGTTTCCACAGCTGGTTACAGAGTTTATCGACAGGTTTCAAGATGAAGAAGGAAATGAACAACCAAAGCTGGCACGTGATCATGCAGAACTTTACTTCGATCAACATCATCGTGTAATAATGTCTGCAATTACTTTTGGACTGAACCGACTGCTGAGGGTAATACATGTTTTTTGTATGAATTTTGTAAAATTCTATTACACTATATTACTCCATATTTGATATTGGTAAATACTCTTATGTATTTCTTATATTGCTAGTTTTATTACGTTTATTTCCATTTGTCGTTTCTTTATTATACTTTAAGCAGATCACTTCAATGGGACAAACTAGCTCTCAATAATTGTGTTTAATGATCCATGACAGTCGACTCTGTCATGGATGTGTTGTTGTTGCTTTTTTTTGTACCTAATTCTAATATGTGTCTGATGTTTCTGATCTTTTAAATGTTTTCGTTTAAGCCAGTTCACTGTCAAGGAACCTGTTTTATTTTTTTGTGTTATTGACTTTATTATACGTTAAAAGACTATATAATAAATGAAATGGTTTCCCTTCAGACAACTATTCTTAGAAGGAAGCGAGATGACGTAGCACAGAAAGACCTCGAACCATTACCAGAAGCCTGTAAAACGGTATATTGTAATTCCTTTAAAAATAATGATATTAACCTATTGTGTGATTATTAAGTCACTTAGCCTAATAGTCTTATTTAGTATTTGGTTTAACCCTGCCAAACCTTCTTACAACCTACTATATTGACAGCATGATCGATGTCTCATCAAAAATGAGTTAAACAGTATAACGAGTGTTTCAAAGAAGCAGGGTTTTTTTTTGGTTTTTTTTTTTGTAGGTTTTGGAGTTTCTTGAGGAGTCATTCGAGGTCTCCCAACAGGGTGGCAGGAGGGGGTTTCAATTCCAACGATGTATACCTTGCAGCATTTGCAGCAAGAATTCACCAAAGAAACACATACAATGGCTGGGGAACTTTGAAAAGGAATGCCTTCCATGCAAAGATGATGCAATGAGTGTCGTACGCTATAAACGACTATTTGCAGGTAAGATTGGAAAAATCGTTCTTGATTGTAAGGGTTGCTTATAATGCATAATGAATTGTAATTAGGCAGATGCTAGATGACTAAAATGACATACTTTAATTATTATTTAAATTGTTGAGGAATGCGACTAATAATAATTGTAACATAATAATTACTTTTGAAAATCCCATTCAAACGAAATTAAACTAAAATTAATTTTAAAGATATAAAAAAAGAATAGGTATGTGATTTTTATGATTAATTGGGAATTTATTGATGGTTTTACAGGTACTGTGGATTCAGGTGAACAACTCTCAGAAAACATGTCACATACTGAAGGTATGGCATTAATATAGATATTTTGAAATATAATTACAAAATTGTAGAATTTTAAAAAATATTTCTGATATTTGTACAGGGGCGGATCCAGCATTGTATATGTATGTATATATATATAGGTATGTGCGTATGTATATATATATATATGTATGTACGTATGTACGCATGTATGTACGTATGTATGCATGTATGTATGTATGCACGTATGTACGCATGTATGTATG